TTATTTCATGAAATAGAAAAGGAGGGAACTCTTCTAAACTCATTCTCTAAAGCTAGTCTCATCCTGATACCAAAAACAAATGAAGACACATCAAGGAAAGAAAACTTCAGACCAATATCACTGATGAACATACATGCAAAAATTATCAATAAAATACTCTCAAAATGCATAAAAAAAATTTAAAAGATAGTGCACCATGATAGAGTAGGGTTTATTCCATGGATGCAAATTAGGTTCAACATATGGAAATCAATGTAATTCATCATATCAATAGACTTACAGACAAGAATCACATGATTATCTCAATAGATGCTGGAAAAGCATTTGATAAAATTCAGCATCCCCTCATGCTCAAAACACTAGAAAAACCAGGGATAGTAGGATCACACCCCAACATAGTAAAAGTTATATACTGTAAGTCCAAAGCCAACAACATTCCATATGGAGAAAAATTGAAAGTATTTCCTGTAAAAACTGAAACAAGACAGGAATTCCCTCCTTCCCCACTCCTATTCAACACAGTTCTTGAAAACCTAATGAGAGTAATTAGACAAAAGAAAGAAATTAAAGGGGTATGAATAGGAAAAGAAGAGCCAATGACATGATTCTGTATTTAGAAGACCCCAAAAGTCTACCAGAAAGCTTCTAGAACTCATAAATGAATTCAGCAAAGTAGCAAGGTAAAAATCAAGACACATAAATCAATTGCATTCCCATACACACCAACAACAAATCAGCTGAAAGAGAAATCAGGAAAACTATCCCACTCACAATAACCTTAAAAAAAAGTACTTGACTCAATCTAACAAAAGAGGTGAAAAACCTCTAGGATGAAAACTACAGAACACTAAAGAAAGAAATTGAAGACGACCTCAGAAAATGGAAAGATCTTCCATGTTGGTGAATAGGCAGAATTAATATTGTCAAAATGGCCATACTATCTAAAGCAGTACACAGATTTAATGAAATTCCTATTAAAATTCCAATGATGTTTTTCATAGAAATAGAAAAAGCAGTCAGGAAATTCATTTGGAAAAATAAGAGGCCCAGAATAGCCAAAACAATTGGTAATGAGAAATGGGATGCAGAAGGCACCACAATTCCAGACCTTGAATTATACCACAGAGCTATAGTAACAAAACAGCATGGTGTTGGCACACAAATAGAAATAGACTTGAAGAAAAATTGGACAAAATACAAGACACAGAGAAATATTCACATAAACCCAGTTATCTCACACTAGACAAAGGTACCATAAATATACATTGGGGGAAAAAAAAAGCCTCTTCAACAAATGGTACTGGGAAAACTGAAAATCCATATGTAGGAGAATGAAATTGACCCCCTATCTCTCACCCTGCACAAAACTCAACTCAAAGTGGATCAAGGACCTAAGCATTAGACAAGAGATTCTGAGCTTTATATTAAAAGAAAAGTTAGGCCTGACTCCCCATAGTGTCAGCTTAGGAACCAACTTCCTCAATAAGACTCCTAAAGCCCAACAAGTAAAATCAAACATTAAGGGCATGTATGAGGGTAGGAAGGATGATAGAATAAATCAGACATTATTACCCTAAGTACATACATAACTATATGACCAGTGAGATTCTACATCATGTATAAACAGAAGAATAAGAAATTATACTCCAAGTATGTGATATATTAGAGTGCATTATACCGTCATGTATAACTAATTATAACAAATTTTTAAAAATTGTTTAAAAAGAATCAGTAAATGGGATTGTATCAAACTAAAAAGCTTCTTCACCACAATGGTAACAATCAAGAATGTGAACAGAGAGCCTACAGAATGGGAGAAAATCTTTAACACCAGCACATCAGACACAGCATTAATCTCCAAGATACACAAAGAACTTCAAAAAATTAATTTAAAAAAATGATTAAATGGGCAAAAGAACTGAACAGACACTTCACAAAGAAATATAAATGTTCAAAAATATATTTTAAAAAATGTTCAACATCTTTAGCAATTAGGGAAATTCAAATTAAATCTACACTGAGATTTCATCTCACTCCAGTCAGAATGGCAAGTATTAAGAATACAAGCAACAATAAATGTTAGCAAGGATGTGGGGGAAAAGGTTCATTCATACACAGCTGATGGAGCTGAAAATTGGTGTAACTACTGAGAAGCAGAATGGAGATTCCTTAGAAAACTTTTAATGGAACCACCATTTGACCCAGCTATCCCACTCCTAGGTTGATACCCAGAGGACTTAAAATCAGCATACTACAGTGATGCAGTCACATCAATGTTTATAGTAACTCAATTCACAATAGCTAAACTATAGAATCAACTTACATGCCCTTCAACAATGAATGGATGAATAAATATATATGTGGTACATATACACAATGAAATATTACTCAGCCATGAAGATGAATGAAATTATACCATTTGCTAGTAAATGGGTAGAACTGGAGACTATCATGCTAAGTGAAATAAGCCAATCCCATGAAACCAAATCAGAAAGTTCTCTCTGATATGTGGATGCTAACCTACAAGTAGGGACGGTAGCGAGGGGAAGAATATAAATGCAGTAGATTAGATAAAGGGGAAGAAAGATAAGTTAGGTAGGAGAGAAACAGGAAGGATAGTAGAATTAATCAGACATTATTTTCCTATCCTTGTATTTGAATACATGACCAGGGTTAACTGCATCATGTACAACCACAAGATTTGGATCTTAATTAAAACAAGTTATATTGCATGTATGTATAATATGCCAAAATACATGTATTTTATTAAGAAACATTAAAGAAATCTTAGCCAATTATGAGAACTACCATATTCATGAATTAAAAGAGCCGCTATTAAGATTTCGAGTCATCCCACATAAATTTATAGTTCCAATTTATTTCCAACCAGATTCCAGCTAATTTTTATTATTTTTATTGTTGCTCACCTTGATGAGTTTCTAAATCAAATAAAAGGGTTTCTTCAAGATACTCTTGGAGCAGGGGAACCAAGACATGAGTACCTATCATACAAAATATCAATATTTATTTTAAAGTCAAAATAAGACAATATGGCATTAAGCTAGGGATGAATAAAAAAAGTAGAATAGACTGAATCACAGAATAGACTCACACACACATATAGACTCCTAATATATGATAGAGACAGCTCTACAGATCCGTGGGAAAGAATAGACTTTCCAAAACAAACGTGGAGTCCTTATTATTATCTACATGATAATGTCATTTCTTTCCATGATCCACATTCCTCATTCCCCCCTGGCTATACCCTCTTCTCCAAAATTGTTCAAAACACACCAGGCATATGACTGCCTCAGAGCCACTACCCTATGGTTCCTTCTGCATGGCAGCTTTGGCCCCAAATATTCCCGTGGGTTGTCTGTTCACTACATCAATCTCTGTTCAAATATCACCATTTAAGAGTGATCTTCCTTAACCATTCTTCAAAAAACAGTCAGTGCCATTGATTTTTATCTCATGACCTGGCTTCCTTTCCTTATGTAGTCTACATTCTCTAGAACATGAGTTTTGAAATGCAGGACTTGTTACTTTTTTGCCTCTACATGCTGATCCATTACCTGACACATACTGGATCTTCATCAGTGTTTGCTGCACGTATGAATAATCTACAAGATAAATGTCCAAAGAAAACATTTCAAAATAGATATCATTTTTCTTCTCTTAAATACCAAAGACTGAAATTTTATTACTCAACATGGTTAAGCAAGAGGACCCCTGTAAGCAGCTGCAAAAGGACTTCTCTAAAGAATATAAATTGTATATAAATTGTCAGATAAACCAAGGGCCTTTTTACAATAAATTTTCAGGCTTAATATTCTATGGCTAGAAATAATATTCAGGAAAATAATTGCAAAATGTAGTTGCTATTTGGGCAAAGATATTTATCATGGCATTAATGATAAAAGCACAAAAAAAAGAAATAACATGAACATAAACATTAGGATAATAGCTAGGTAAAGTCTGTACTTTCAGATGGTGCCAATATAATTCATCTTTAAAATGATAATTTATAAATAATTTAAGTAATATGGAAAAAGCAGATGGTATAAGGTGAGCTATCAAAGGGTGGGAAGTTCAAAATATTTTGCCTAGTAGAATTTCAAGGAAATAGCTCAAATATGCATTTTGCTAACTGTTGTCCTGATGTGACCTTTCCATGGAAAATCTTGCTTGCTAGTAAGTTCTACACCAAACCAATTAGGAAATAGAATAAGCTTGGGCGTGGTAACATACACCTGTAATCCCAGAGGCTCAGGAGGCTGAGGCAGGAGGATTGTGAGTTCAAAGCCAGCCTCAGCAATGGCGAGGCACTAAGCAACTCAGTGAGACCCTGTCTCTAAATAAAATACAAAATAGGGATGGGGATGTGGATCAGTGGTTGAGTAACCCTGAGTTCAATCCCAGTACCCCAACTCAAAAAAAAGAAAATAAATGAAATTAATAATTTCTTTGTAGTTGTATATTAGTACCTTCACTCTTCCTGTCACTAACTACTATAAACTCTACTGTATGCAGATATTTTAACTTAACTTTAGATTCATTCATCCAACTGCCAAATGTTTCACATTATCAACCAATAGGAGAGATTAATAAGCCTTCAATCAAGTGAACCATATATCTAAAAACAGGGTTTTTTCCTCCACCCCAGTTACCCCAGTTTCTCTCTCTCTCTCTCTCTCTCTCTCTCTCTCTCTCTCTCTCTCTCTCTCTCTCTGCTAATGTAACTATGCCAAAAAATATTTTCCAAGCTGAAAACATTCCCACCACCTCCCTCCTGCACCCGAAACCCAATGGCCAAGACAGTGAACCAAACTAAGCCAAATATGTCAGGAACTATGAGTATTCATTGAACTCAAAATTTTCCTGATCCATGACACCTCTTTTCTGTTTTAACCTGGCCTATTTTTTTTTTTAATAAAAAGAGTCCCACAGCATTTATTTTCATCTGGTAATAACATAGGTAATCAAAACAATGTGAACTAATGCTTTAGAACTATATTCCAGGCAAAGGGCAGCTAAATTAAAAAAAAAAATTGTTGCTTTCTCTGTAATTTCCCACTTCATTGATCATTTCTAGTTGGAGACACTTTGTAGCAGAGTAATATTATCTCCTTTTAGCATGATCCGACCCAGCTGTTTTCTTGACTTTGTTTTAGAATGAATCTCTTCTGCATCATCTAATACAAGGTTCATGTATTCATCAAAACCAATAATACAGCCCTCTATCCGCATATTCACTTGCTCATAGAGCCACACCTGAATCCGGGATCTGTTTTGCAAGTATCTGAAGATGAGGTTGATGGGCTGCACCATCACCTTCTGGACCTTCTGGCCCTGGCCACGGTACGCCATGGTGGAATCTCACAAAGACCACACGAACCTAACCTGGCCTATTTAGTTTGACTCGTGTGGAACTTTTGCAAAGCACTGGGAATCTGGCTATGGTTTCAGAAACAGAAATTTCTCCTCAGTAAATTGCAGAAGTTCATCACCTGATCCTTTCATCACTTTCTTCTCAGTCATCATTAAAAAGAATTTCCATGTCAATAAAGTCAAGAATAATTACTAGAAATCTCAGGGACTTGTATCACATTTATGTATTCATCGCTAAATAAATTTATTTTTAAACTAATTTTGACTTTTTCGGTTACAGTCATCGCTGCTCGCGCGTAAGTGATAACATATGGCTTTCCAGAGCTCGTGAAAAATGGCACAGTTGTTAAATTTCAGAGCAAGGGTTTAACACTGAGCGAAAAAGTTATTTAGAGTAAGAGACAAAGGTTTTATATGCTAAAAATGACCTTTCGCTTCATAATAGGACGAAGAACAGGACTTTCTAGTCGCGGTGTGTAGATCAGTGTTGAGGGGTGAGAATGGATTAAAGGACCAAAGGTAATGACTTCATTTTTGCATGATCTGAAAAAAACACAAAGACCAGGGTTAACAGTCTAATCTAAACTTCATGAGGGCACAAAGAGGAAAAGACAGGAGCGCTCAGTAATTAAGGGAGGTGGGGACAAAATCACCCAAGATTCCTTCTCCTTTCTTCTGCAACCTGCTGGGGTGTTAAAGTCCACAGTGCTGCAGGTTTGAGAGGAAATAGAGAAGTTTGGGGAATGCTTTCTCAAACCATCAGGAGGCTTGAGGAAAACAAGGCAGCCCCTTCCTGCAGCCCACTCCCTGGATTTCCTGCAAAAGAACGACTGCTCTTCAGCCTTTGATTCCTCTCATCGCCTTCCACACTTTTCTTCTAAAAATGTAAAAGCATTGTTTTCAAACTTTCCTTTTATTTTTTTATTTTTATAAAAATATTTACTGTTTCATGGAATTGCACCATTTCCTTCTGAGGCAAAAATCACTTCCAAACAAAACTGGACAAACCATAGTTGACGTAAGCATATGTTTTCCAAGCAGTTTTATTCCATTATCTGAGAATTTAGCACCACTCTGCATGCAGTCCTGAGTGGCATCAGCATACATTTTCACTATAGAACTGTCAAAATATAATATGGCCTACAATAAAACCTAATAGGTAAATAAAATAACAAAACCAACTTTCTTTGCAAAGGGGCAGTGCAGTAATATTTTAACATGTACTTCTGATTCAAGATACTAATATCTACTAAATACATTTATTAGCAGTTTGTATGCCTAGCTCCCAGGCCAGTACATTATTTGAGTTTAGTTGTAGTTGCTGTTAACATTGTAATCAAACTCATAAATAAAAGGGCGAAATTTGGCTAGTTGGATAGGAGTGGAAGCAGAATTGTATGCACAGCAGATCTCAACAATTTTTTTTTCTGAAATATGTCAAATATTGCCAAAGAATTGAGGGCCACAGCCAGCAGACTATCATCAATTTCACTGGATTATGGAAGTGACTTTCAAGATAGTTTTCTTTTCCTGTTTATTTTCTACTATAAGTGTATATCTTTTTCTTATACACACTCTCTTTTGTTCCAGCTTTTGAAACCTCATAATCAACAATATATCTTTCTTTCAGGTTGCTTTCTGTTTGTGTTTCTTTCAACACAGTCTATTTCTTGAATTAACTGTCCATGTCATCTGCTTTGTTCAAGATATGTAATTATATTCATTCTACATAAGAAACATACAATAAAAACATGAGATGGGGTCTGCTTTGTTCTAAAAGGTCACATTATATTTGAATTCAGTGAAATAATTCTGGTTTTAGATAACAATTTCTCTGTATATTAGAAAAAGGAAATTGTGGCAATGACAATTTGTAGTTCTAAAATGCTGCAAAATGGGAATAAATGTCTTGTCTTTTTAAAAACAACATATACTCGGACTGGGACATAACTCCGTGATAGAGCGCTTGCCTCACACATGTGAGGCACTGGGTCCGATCCTCAGCATCACATAAAAATAAGGAAAGAAAGATATTGTGTCCATATACAACTAAATGTGTGTGTGTATTTTTTTTTTAATAACAACAACATATTCCCATATGAACTCACAGGATTCTTAGTGTAAGATGTCATTGGAACTTCCCTGACCTGCAAGCGGGAAAAGGGCCATCTATTAAAATCTAGAAGAATTTATATTCCATGTGCCATCTTCATGCTTGTTTTACTGCTAAGATACTGTTCAAATTTCTGGGTTGACAGCTATTGCTCCGACAACTTTTTAAAATCATTTTGATAGTCACAGTTTCTGTCATTTGTGGGGCAAACTGACAAATTTTCAATGACATATTTACACTAGCAATGGCATCCCCTGGCAGCCAAGACATTGGAAAACATACTTGAGTAGCAACATGTATAGAACGTCCTGGTTTGCCATCTGGTTGTTTGGGTTGAATGCTGGAGAGAGTTCTTTTGTTTGAACTAGGAAGGGCTCAGATTGTGACTCCTTCAGCAAAGTCTCAGAAAATGAGACTTTGCATGTTAATGTACCGTTTCCCCTAAGGAGAGCTATGTTGCTTCCTAACAAGAAGCAAGTAAATCCTATTTGTATGGTAGTGTCAGCCTTCCTGGACAAGAGTAGGCCCAAATCTCTACCCAAAAAATCGAGTGTGTTTTCTCAAGTGTCCATTCCCTATAAGTTATATTAATATGCCTGAAAATTTCAATCAAACATACAAACCACATCATCTTTGCAATCCTTTTTATGTGTAATCTTTTCTTGGTCTGAAGAGAAGCACTATCAGTTTTACTAATAATCACATTGGTTAAATGATCTCTTAGTTAATAAGACTGCTATTAAAAATACCACAGGCTGGTGGTTTAAACTAGAAAACATTTATTTTTCACAGGTTTGGAGGTTAGAAGTCTGAGATCAAGATGTCAGAAAATTCAGTGTCTGGTGAGAGCCCCCTTTATGGTTATATCTTCATATCATGGGGGATGGTGGGGAGAGAACAAAGCTAGGGGTGGGGGAACAAGCTTTCTCTTTTTTTTTTTTCTTATAAGAATATTAATCCATCATGAGGGATTCCACTTCATCACCCAAATTCCTCCCCAAAGATCCCCTTTCCAAATATCATCACATTGGAGATTTAAATTTCAATATATGAATCTTGGGAAGACTCTAACAGTCAGTTCAGCACATAGTAAATAATTCGTACTGTTGGATTACTTAACATACAGGCCTCTAGCTAGTCTCATATCTGGGCTTACATGTCACATTATAAGAATATGGAATTTGTTTTATGAAAAATTTATTATCTAATTGTAGTAGAAGTATAGTAGCTACCAGCATAGATAATTGTCAGAATTCCTGGGTTTCACTCTCAACTTTGTCACCATCTGTGTGTCATTGGGTAAGTCAAAGTTCTCTGTGCCTCAGTTTTGTCATCAATAAAATAATTATAAGTCTCTCCTGACAGAGTTGTTTTGAGTATTAGATTAGAACATATGTGTAAAACACCTGGAACAATTTCTTTGCATTTACTAACATGTACATGCTAGATATTATCACTACTTTTATTATTGTTATTGTCCTTGCATATAAAAAATCTTATTTATATATCAGTTTTTGAATTGCACAGAATTTTTTTCACATAAATTATGTTATGTTGTTCATATGAACTATTTCACTTCTTCTGGACTGAGAACCCTGAAAGTACATGTCTCTTCCCATCATAAACTCAATACCAACCACACATGTTAATCATGGTCCCTGACATACCCACAACCTATTCTGACAGAAACTCCCCAGTCTGCTTGGTCCCTGCCTGGGTACACTCACAGATTATGAAACTAAAAGCAGTTGGTCTCCTAGGTTTGCAAATTGTGTGATATGGAGAGAACTGGTGGGTCAGCAGCAATGAAAAATTGTATCAAAAGAAGATACAGAGAATAGGAGCCATGAGAGCCCAAGCAGAAATTTATATGGAAATTGTGAGGAGAAAAAAACCCAAGTACAAAAAGCTTCAAAGGGAAGAAAATGTAGAGTAGAGGACCAGGCAGCCCAGGAGAAAGGGGAAGAGAAGAGGCAGAGAAAGAGGGCATGGGGCATGCCGAGCAAAAGAATGAGGGTGTAATGACCTTCCAGTCCTGCCTATTTCCATTTTACTTATATGAAAACCATATACTGGGAATGTTCTTTCACAATTTTCCCAGTAAACCTTCCTGTTGATAGAGTGTTTATAAGCTTTTTCTAATAAAAGAAGACATAGTAACCATGTCTTCTTGTTTTCTACTTTCCCTGCTCTGATATCTGAGACCTTGCTAGCCAGAAAGACTACTCCTCCCAGGGAGAGCCAATTCCTAGGGAGTAAATGACTTGCCTGGGGCACATCTTTGATATCCAAACCAATTAATCTATCCTGAAACCACTCCTTTTATCGAACTAACTGTTACCCTCTGGGCCACTATCCCCTACCCTAATTATCCCAGGAAAACTCACAGACTAGAAGTGTAGCCCCCACAGCCCAGAACCCAGTGAAATCATCCAAATTGTCCAGTCCTACCTGTTTACCTCACTGTACCTCTTTTTTTCTGAAACACACACACACACACACACACACACATACACACACACACATATACACACACACACACTAAAAATGCTGCTCACTAGTTCCTTCTCTTTCTGCCCACTCACTTCAGTGCATGGCAGGCCATGCCTCCTGTTTGTAGGGTACTGTACACATAACAACTTTCTTCATGGGAGTCATTTCTGTATCCACGTCTTATCTGGTTAAAACAAGCCCCAGGTACCCTTAAGACATGTGTTAACAACAGTACACACTTCAAAGCGGGAGATGCTTTCATGATATAGAAAAAAAGACGTCAGAGACACCATAGTGTGAATAAATGATTTCTGATTATGATAATTAGAAAAATGTGTCTCCGGGGGCACATCATTTCTGATGTATGTTGAATGACAGGCAGAATTTAGACATAAC